GGGCTGCCGCAGTCAGCGGCGGGAAAAGGGCCTTGCCCTGCAGGGAGGAACACGTAACGGCAACGTGGCGCCGGCTGCGGGAGGGGAGGGGAGGAGAGGGGAGGGAGAAGGAAGAAGGGGGAAGGGGGAAGGGCGGGGGAGAAGAACGAGCCGAAGGCGCCTCAAAAGCCCAGAGCCAAAATTGGCACTAGGCCACCGGGGAACTCAGTACTTGCTAATTTGGAGTGGGAAACATCACGTCCTGCTGTCATAATAAATCCTGGTTGTGAAACCACCGTTTGCCTGGTCTGCATCGTGTCCTTGCCTTCCTACTACCAAAAGTCTTAAGCGCTAGATGCGGCCCGAAAAGGCAGAGTGACAAGCAGGGGTGCAGGGACAAGGTGAAGAGAGAAGTCTTTCCGTGCAATGTTACTGATATTTTGCATCTCTGTTTGAAAATACATTAAAAAGTCAAACATATCTAAGCCATCAGTCACTTCAGGAAATGCCGACATTAAGCCTTTGTTCTAAAAGTAGTCAGTCGGACACCATCCCAGGATTTTAGGAAGTGCACTAGGCAGGTCAGAAGAGAAATCTGTTTTCAGGTTGCCTTGAAACAATTACTTAAGTGCCCTTGAATGACCTGAGCAATGAAGTAATGGGAATGCGCTTGCTGGCATCTTCTGGAATATGCAGAGCTGCGACCTGGGCAAACAGAACTCTAAAGCAAAAGGTGGTGAAGTAAAACATACAGATTGTAATAGACTTCAAACCAAGGGAGAGGTACGCATCAGAAAAAAAGATTGCCAAAAACTGAACGTCACAGAATGTGGTGGACTGAAGTCAAGGCATAGAGGTGTTCAGTTCTTGGGAATTAACATGGTCGGTTGTATGAGCCCAACCTTCACCCAGGGTAAGGAGCTGGCATCAGATAAAGACCTCGATCCAGGTTCTCTATGCAGCAGTGGTACTTGGGAGCAGCGACTGACTCCTCTGAGAGTAGCAGCACAGTGATCAATGCCAGGATGTTCAA